TAGCGACTTGGCGTGTTCTACAGTTTGTGTGTCCCAATTCAAAGGCCTTAAAACCAGCCTTCGGAGGCTGCAGCCCTCGATTTGGGACACAGCCCATATGTGACACATAAAAAAAAAAGTGGGTCAATGATTTAAAATATTGTTAAAAACATGATTTATTTCTATCATTCTGTTACATTTGAAAAAGAATTCATTTGGTACAAAAAGTATAAATGTTAAAAACTGTACAATTCCATATTTACAAGTTCGTTGTTGTTTTTTTTAAATAAAGTCATGGAGGAAGGATGTGAACTGCGTCTCTGTCCGTCACTGTCTACAAAAAGCAACCACGTATCTCTCCCACACTGTCGGAGTAGAGGGCACAACATTTTGGAGGCACCGCTGGGATGTTTGTCCAGAGTTTTATCCGACGGCCGGAAGCGGAAGCTCGAGCCCAATATTCCTTTTCGAACCCGAGCATCGGAGCGAGCAGCGGAGCGAGCAGCGGCAGGACGCACAGCGGTCAACTTGGCTTTGCCAACCACGTGGAGCAGGTTGGATCTCAAGTGTGCACAAGCACCACTAGAGGTCACTGCAAGACCACCAAGTTCATAAGCCCACGTTGGACTGTTTTGCCCACTGACCTGATCAAAATGGAATCAGAGGTAGAAACACTGCAACTACAAATCCAAGGTGGACTATAGGGACTGAATGTTGAACAACTGCTAAGCATATGTAATACATTGAAGAGAGCAGCTCAGTGGCAGAAGTGGAGGACAGCTAATCACACTTATCACAAGCCATGTTGAAAGAGCTGACTTAGCTGAGCTGGAAGATGAGGGAATGTCTGACCTACGGTGTCCTGGTTTTGACAAACGTAAATCTGGTCACACTAACCTGTATTCACCTGAATCATGTCTTTTAATCCAACAGAAGTTGACCGCATCAGCGACACAAGAGCTGTAGTTTTATCTTCGCTTAGTTTCTGCAAATTAGTGATGCGGTTTTAAGTTTTGTTTCTGTGAGAGTTGCGCAAAAATGAATTAAACACATTCTAATCTCAAACGGATTGATGTGGCTCTAGAGTCGTTACGGTTTATATGTCGTAAAGTTGAATTTATTTATGCAGATTAGTAGTGCAGATAGTAATAATAATGATGATCATTTAATATAAATATGTTAATGATTAATCGATAATCGATCGTTAATTCTTCCGACGATCGATTAAGAAAATTTCATCGAATGCCCATCCCTACTCAAATCGACGGCATTTAAACTGTAACAGTACTTGGGGGTCGTGCACATGCGCAGTAGAGCAAGGTAGCTCACATCGACGGGTAGCTCAAATCAATAGGACACCGGACGCGCCCTCATGCTCTCTTTGGAACACGACAGATGTATTATGTTCCTTACATCATGTTGGATTTTGATCTGTAGAGTATCTAAGTATTTTACATCGTGATTAAAAGTAGTAAAAACTCATTAACTCAGACGGGTCAAGTGCCCAGATCAAGTTACAGTGCAACACCAATCCTCACCTTCAAATATTTTGAACTGAGCCATTGCTGCTACCATAAAACTCACAGACAAATGACATGAATAATGCTTGAAGTAAAACGCACTCCTCCTTCCACTGTATTTGAAATTAACAACATTTTGTCTGTGTTACAGCCCCGTGCAAAGAACTGGAGACGTCTGTGAAGAGTCTCCAGACGTGATCCTCCTCGACTCTTTCAGCCCAAATGTTGAGAGGGAGGAACAGGAGCAAAAGAGGGATGAAGAAGTCATCATCCTTCAGCCTCCCAGCTCCAACAGAAAGAGGAGGATGGAGCAAGAGGAGGAGAGCGCCCTGGACTCATCTTCCTTTGTGCCTGTGGACTCTGCCCGTAAGAGCAGGAAGAGGAAGCCAGAGGACACCCTGGACTCCTGCAGGCCAAAGATTATGAGGGAGGAAGAGGAGAATATTGAGCTGGAATCTGTTCCAAAGAGAAATGAAGGGGAAGTAATCATCCCACAGATTCTCCGAGCTAACAGAAAGAGGAAGATGTGATCAACCTGGATTCTGTTTGTGAGAACAGAAAGAGGAAGTGGAAGGATGGGGAGACCATAGACGTGGACTCTGAGCGTGAACAGCTCCGAGAAGCAAAGCGCTGGAGCTGTTTGTGACGAGTCTCCACGTCTGATCATCGACCTGGAAGACGTGGAGGTGGAGTCTGTTCATGAGATCAGGAAGAGCAGGGATACAGATGTAATCATTGTGGATCAACCCAAATCAAACAGGAAGAGGAAACAGGAGGAAGTAATCGACCTGACGTCCTTGTCTCCCAAATACAGGAAACATTAACCTCCCCATATTCCACATCCATTTTTCATGAGTGCATCAGTGATGTTATGAGCTCATGAATAGTGGATCAACAACAGTTAAGAGGGATAATTGAATTGTAGCAAATCTAATTCATTATGGCCAAAACTAAAATGTAGAAACTCACTTCTCTGGACTGGATCAAACCGAACAGTGAACTTGTCACCTTTCAGCAAAATTAGACATTTTCCATTTATGTGAATCATGTAGATCAGCAATAAAAATAACGAATAGTGACTACAGGCCAGAGTCAAAGGTGCAGAACCATTTTTACTGCTTTAAGTGAAGAACACAGATAGTTCATGTTAAACATTTGTACATGGGGTCAGTGGATATTCCTCATCTAACCGGAAGAATTCCATCCACTCCATCCGGGGACTCCCAGACGTCCTCCACCCCAGACACTTCCTCCAGCTCCTCCTCCTAAATCAAGAGCTCTGCTTTTCAACTCAGCTCCCTGTTCACCACAGCACTACTACTTGGACTCCTCCACTTGATTCAGGGAGTCTCCACTCACCTGAAGAGGGCAAACCTCTTTCTCCACATGAGAACCATGGCCTCCATCGGATTTGGAGGATCTGATCTTTATCCCAGCCGCTTCACACTTCGGCTGCAAACTGCATGTTGGTCCTGGTTTAATGAAGCCAAGAGCACAAAGAAAAATCCTTCAATAAATATTCAGTGCATCAATTATTTGAGTATTTTATTGTGAGTAAAACTTTTGGTGTTAAAGCAGCTGTTGTTTCCATATTAACATTAGTGTTGTATCTTTTAAGTACAGCAAATTTTACCTCTTTCAAACGATCCCATCCTATCTGCTTAAAGTTTTTACCTCTTTGTCGTCAAATAAGAGCTTTAAGATGAACGTGAACAGCCGATTATGAACCCCAGTTTGAGTGACAAGGCAAGTTTATTTAATTCAAAGTGCTTTACAGAATAACAAATACATTAAAATCACAATAAAAAAAACAATCAAAACATAAATTATCATCATAAAGTTTAAAAGAGAGAGAGACATTAGATAAATTAGAGAGAAGATTGTGGAATGAAAACCTTTCAGTCAGACGCAGCTAAACAGAAGTGTTTCGAGTCTGGATTTCAACAGAGTCAGAGTCGAGTCTGTGTCACATGTTCAGACTGTTCCAGGTTTTAGCTGCATGAATCTGAAACTCTGACTCCCCTTGTTTAGTCCTGGTTTAGTCCTCCTTTAGTTCTGGTTTGGTCTGTGTTTAGTCGTGACTCTGGGCAGCAGCAGGAGGTCGGTCCCTGAGCTCCTCACAGTGCAGATGGTTCTTGTGGCTCTAACATGTCACACATGGACTTTGGTGCTCGGCCGTGAAGAGACTTGTACAAACAGAGCTGCTTTAAAGTCTCTTCTCTGAGGGCCTTCTGTCCAGACTCTTTTATCAACAGAAGACTTTTGTTGTTTTTTTGTTTCTTCAGTGTCCAACTGCTGTGAATATGAAGCATATTTGACCCACCAAAAGGACAAACAAAACAAATCTGGAAATAACTAGATGATGACTCTGTAATAATGGTTTGATAATGGTGACAGAGTGGTGTTACGACCCAGCTCTGTTAGGGACAGGGGAAGTAACAAAAGAGCCAAGATGGATAATGGAATAAATTAAATAATGTTTAATTAACAGGAGTGTAAAAGATAAATTAACAAAACAGACTAAACTATTTACAGAAAGTAACCTAAACCAAGAAACAAAACAACAGGATTAACAGACAACGAGTTTTGTGGCACAAAACGGGTCACACAGGCTTATACAAAAACAAGTGGTTAACACTATAGTGGTTAACTACTTGGTCTCCTGCCTGCCCCACAACACTTAAAACCACTGAACACCTCGATAAAAGAGGTCTAAAAATACTGGATAAAAAACCCACTTCCCACCACCACTGTCCCATTCTGAGCACAGGCTTTTGGATTTCAGGAATATGATCAAACTTAAAAGAGCTTGTTTAATTTATAAGGTCATACACTCCCTCGCTCCACCACCGTTAAAAGAGAACATCAAACACAAAGGCATCTCAGAAAGAACCACACGAGCCACCACCAGAGGAGACCTGCTCATACCCCACAGATGGAACAACTGTGGTCAGAATGTTTTATCTGTCCAAGGTGGAAATCTATGGAACACTCTTCCACTGACACTGAGAGAGTGTCCTACATACAGCTCTTTTAATAAAGCTCAAATGAAAAACTGATTCTGGTCAAACCAAACATGTCTCATGTCCAACTGCACTGTGATTTGAATTGATCTTCTATGGACACATATTTACATGTACTGAATGTGTCACCAAACAGACTGCAAAATAATGGGAATTGGGCAATAACTGGACTGTATAATATTTTGGAATGTGCAATGATGACAACTGTACAATACTGGGAACTGTGCATTGAATGGAGTGTATATTTTTATTGTTTGGCCCCAATCTGGTGTGTTTACATTCATGTTGTGTCATGTTTGTTCATTAACATGCTCTCTCCCAAACAAATAAATAAATAAATAGTTTAAAAACACAGTAGAGCACTTTCTGTATTACCACATGACATCACACGGTGTTTTCTGTTGGAGATGAGAACTCAGCCTGAATGTGCAGGGTTTGTGCATTAAACATGTGTGAATGAAACAAAACACGACCCAGGTCATTTGAATATGAAAAGTTTAAGTAAAACTGTACATTTTTTTTATTTAAATTATGGCCAAACTCCACACACAAAGTTACAGTTCCATAGTGTCATCTGTACAGTCAGTTTACTTCTCAGCATCGCTCCTTCACTTTTAGTCCCAGTAAAAATACAAATGATTTCACTTTAAAACAGCATATTTTCATCATAATGCTCCATACTCGAGCTTTAATCGAATGAATATAACAATGTTTTTTTCTCCTAAATACTTGTTTTGTTTTTCGTTTAAACAGAGGCGCTTGTTTGTCAGTAGTCTGCGTTGTCATTGTCGTACACATCTGAGGGAAGAAAGAGAAAGAGTAGGTCATTTGAATGCAGTTTAAATATTTGTCATTTAAAAAAAACACAAACTCACCGCTGGGGTACTCGACATCATCATAAATGTCCCCCTCACTGACAAGGAAACAAACAGATTAGTCAACAAATACATGAATGTTCAAAAGAAATAACGACTTCTTCACTAAAGCAGATCATTCATGTTTGTGCATCAGAGTTTAAAGAGGAGGTATTTGACTTCTGAGTATTAACTGTAACACATCACATATTTAGATCATCACCACACTAGTCAAGACCAAGACCTGTCCGAGACCACAGGGTCCCGAGACCAGGACAAGACCAAGAACTCTGAGGATCGAGACCAAGACAAGACCGAGACCACGATCCATCGAGAGCGAATCGAGACCATCTTAGTAATTTTCTATATTCATTTGTATTGTACAATTATTTTGGCACAAATATATCAATGTTTTTATACATTTATTTCCATTTGATCTGATTGATGTTAATTTAGGCATTAAAAAAGCCAAGCAAACTGTACTGCACTGAAACACTCTTTGTGCCCTTTTCTGGAATCTCACCCACAGTTTGAGAACCTCTTCTTTAAGAGAACTTCCACTGGCACTTGACAGAAATATTTACCAACCTCTGCACATTTACCAAACCAAATGCCCATCGTGACAAATACAAATGAATTTGTGCACTTTTTTTTTTATGTAATCAGTGCGTATTGAGGAGAGAGCCTTGTGCTCTGTACGCAGGGAGGAGAGCGTGAAAAGGCAGATGGACAGGAAGGATCGTGTTTTAAAAAGATGAACCTGCCTGGAGACGAGGGCACACGCTGCTACAGACGAGCCGCACGCTGAGGCTGTGTGTACTGCTTTGTGCAAGCACTGTCTGCACGCTCCCGCACGCTCCCGCACGCTCCCGCACGCTCCCGCACGCTCCCGCACGCTCCCGCACGCTCCCGCACGCTCCCGCACGCTCCCGCACCACGCTCCCGCACGCTGATACAAATGCGATCACACTCGGCGAGTGTCAGACCTCGAGCCTGAGACAAGACCGAGTCCAAATGCGTAAAAACGGTCTTGGGGCTGGTGAGACCAAGACTGGAGTACTACCGCACTACATTTTACTGTTTTGATAATGATATTGATTATTAACACTGATTTTGTTAATGATATATTCACTGAAAACCACACACTAACTTTCCGAAAGTTTCAGAAAGAGAGTGTTCCCTTGTAGAGAGCTCTATCACACAACAAAACCAGCATGCATCCTGCACATCACATCAGGTTTGTTAAGTTGTGTGCAGTTTTGTATCATGTTTTTGTGTATTTATTAAGAACTGTCGTGTAAGAGTAAAGAGCATGTATGACATAGGCCTCAGGTCTTGGAAAGAATCGTACAGCTAACCATATGGCGGGGTCAGGAGAGATCACTAAATGACTCAAACATGATGGATGACATCTGTCATCATGTTTTACATGAGGTAACATTGTAACATGGGTAACATGGTAGAAAACTCTAAGAAGTCATGGTAGAAAACTCTAAGAAGTCCTTTTAGCATTCCCCCTCTTTAAATAGTCATTTTTACTCACAGTGGTAGAAGATGAGACTTGTTCACATAACCAACTGTAAGAAAAGGAAAGAACATTACAACTCCACAAATGTAACAGTGAAGAAAGCCCCAGGCCCCTCCCACAACTGCTCCAGCCTTTATGGCCTTTTCAGCCTGGTCCATGAGGAGCATCCCTGACCTGACCCTGCTCTATGTTCTGCTCTGGAGAACACAGTGACACCTGTCTACACCTGTCTACACCTGTCTACACCTGTACTGTCCCTGCAGCCTCTTTAATCTCTAATGGTCTCTGGAGCCTGTCAGGTGAGCACCAGCCAAATCCACCCCATGTCCTGAACAGACACTGACTACACCACACTAGAGTCACACTTGTCACATGCTGACTGCACTAACACTGGAGGGTTTGTGGCAGGTGATGAGGGTTTGGTGCAGGTGATGAGGGTTTGGTGCAGGTGATGAGGGTTTGTGGGCAGGTGATGAGGGTTTGGTGCAGGTGATGAGGGTTTGGTGCAGGTGATGAGGGTTTGGGGCAGGTGATGAGGGTTTGGTGCAGGTGATGAGGGTTTGGGGCAGGTGATGAGGGTTTGGGGGCAGGTGATGAGGGTTTGGGGCAGGTGATGAGGGTTTGGGGCAGGTAATGAGGGTTTGGGGGCAGGTGATGAGGGTTTGGGGCAGGTGATGAGGGTGTGGTGCAGGTGATGAGGGTTTGGGGCAGGTGATGAGGGTTTGGGGCAGGTGATGAGGGTTTGGGGCAGGTGATGAGGGTTTGGGGCAGGTGATGAGGGTTTGGTGCAGGTGATGAGGGTTTGGGGCAGGTGAGGGGCAGTGGTTCGTACATTTTCCAAACTTGTTTCGACACAGGGCCTTCTTGCTGTGCATCTGCAGGATGTCTAGGACGTCTCCAGGGGACACGTTGAGGTCTTTGGGCCCTGGTTTCTTCAGGAGAGCATTGGGGTCCACCATCATGGTCTGCAGCACCTTCAGAGGGCCCTCAAACTGTGGGGGACAAAGAGAGCACATGTTACAAAAGACCTGTGGGTGTGGATGGAGCCTCTGCCTTTTCTACAGGAATAGTTTGGTTGTGTTTATTTTCACTAATGTGATAATGTGATGATGTCCACATGGAAGTTGCATTCAAGTTCTAGAAGCATGGAAGTATGGAAGATTTACTATTTTCATGTTTTTGAAAGAGATCTCCAATCTCTTATTTATAGTCATTTGTTTGGGATTGGCTCCACAAACCTGGGCCATTAAAGTGGAGCTAAACACTAAATCAAACTAAACTGAACATGGTGTTCTAATCGTTTCTACTGTTCATGGGCCTTTACTTTACTGCTGTATTTGCTTCTATCAGAAACATGTTGGGGGTTGTATATATATCATAAGAAACTTGTTTTATATCATAAGAAACTTGTTGTATATCATAAGAAACTCATATTAGTTCTTTGCAGTGACATCATTCTGGGCGTGTTCCCCAACATGTATCTCTATGGTGGGATGTTCAGCAGTGACCATGGTGATGCACACATGACACACTGTCAAAACGTTTTAAGATGATCTGAAACTCAGTAAAAAATACAAAATGGATTTAAACAGGAGCCTGTGATCAGTAGGAGCATTCAGCATACAAGTATCATTTACTGTATTTTTCAGACTGTAAGTGGCACTTTTTTCATGGTTTGGGTGTTTCCTGTGACTTATACTCCAGTGCAACTTATATATTAAAATGTTCACACTGACAGCGGTGAGAGGCTCTAGTCTTGTGTGTGAGTATCTGCTGCTCCTGTTCCTCCTGTACCACTGTCACTTGGCTCTACTGCACATGTCTCCTGCAGAAAGAGCCTCTGCCCCTCATGTTGTGAAATATTCAGCCAAAAATTATAATCGAGCAGCAGAAAGAAAGTTTGGAGTGAGCGAGAAACTTGTGAGGGACTGGTGGAAAGCGGAGATGGAGAACACAGCTTCATGGCAACTGGGAGAGTGCACTATGCAACTTTCCTGAAAGTCACTGGATGATGGACAAAGCCTGGACTTCAGTGACACTGAAACCATCCTGTCGGGATTCAGAAAGACCCAAATAATTCTAACTGGAACTGATGCTGTGTCTGACGACAGCGACACAGAAGAGTTTGCGGCGCTCTGTTTACCTACGGAGGTCGAGGCCGAGTTGTTCAGAAGTGAGACCGAGTATGAAGAATTGAATGGATTTAGTGATTTGGAGTGAGATGGAGAGTTTGGTAAACTTGTTCTGTTCTGTTGTTTATAGTTTATCTGAAGAACTGTTCATATGTGACGTTAACAGTCTGTTGTTCTCTGTGACTTATAGTCCGGTGCGACTTATATATGTTTTTTTTCTTATTCATTATGCATTTTTTGGCTGGTGTGACTTATACTTCGGAGTGACTTATAATCCAAAAAAATACGGTAGATGAAAAGTGATACTTATTTTTATACTGAATTAAAAATGTTTCAAGTCTCAGTCATTTTCTCTTCTGAGTAAAAGTGTCTGGTGATACGTTCAAAAATACAAGTTGGCAGTAAAATGCGTACCTTAAACTTCTTCTTGAGCTCCTTCTCGATCTTTGGGTCGATGCTGTAAAAACAGGAGAGTTAGTGCGTGTGAAGGACAGCACAGAGACAGACGTGAGGACAGAGGGAGGGGAATACTTCAACTCGATTGGTGGAGGAGGGAAGTCCACGTCGTCGTATTTATCTGAGGAAACACAAACGCATTATTGGTCTGTCAGCCATGTTCTTCACCGCAGAGGTGTAGAGAAGTCAAAAAATGTACTCAAGTAAGATTATTAATACTTCTAAATAATATTACTCTTTCTCTTACACTGTAAAACTGAACTTTCAAAGAAATTAAATAGATGAAGTTGTGTTTACTATAGGTTTTAATACTAGTCCTACTAACTTCATTATGTCAAGTTGCTTTAACAAGTTCTTCTTTTTGAGTCATTTTAACAAATATTTTTTTGTTAAAGGGAACTATTTTGGGTAAAAGTGAGTGTAACTTAAAAACATAGATGATGTAGAACTTAGTAGAATTAAGTAATTAAAAAACAATATGTCATGTGTGTATAATGTACTATGTGTGTACTATAATGTGTTAGGTATGTATGATTATTAAACTGTATAGAGTCGTGGACAAAATTGTTGGTCCCCCTCTGGTAAGGAAAGAAAAATCAGCAATGGTCACTGAACTTGAAATGAGAAAATCAATAATAAATAAAAATTTACTGAAAAATAACCAATGAAAATCAGACCATGTTTTTGAATTGTTGTTCAACAGAATTATTTAAAAAAAAAAACTAATGAAACTGGCCTGAACAAAAATGATGGTTCCTCTAGAAAAGATTGTAAATACTTGGACAACAGGGACATGTTAAACTTCGGTGTGTCTCTAATCTGCATCACATGTGTTTTCAGACTTGTCCTCAGTCAGTCTGTCTGTTTAAAGGGGGACATGTGTCATTGTGCTGTTTGGAGACATGATGGACACAACACTGAACATGGACTAGATAAAGAGAAGAAGAGAACTGTGTCAGGAGACTAGAAAGAAAACGATAGACAAACAGGTTAAAGATAAAGACAATAAGACCATCTCCAAGCAGCTTGATGTTCCTGTGATTACAGTTACACATGTTCTTCACAAGTTTAAGGTCCACAGGACTGAAGAAATTTATGACAAACTGAAAAGACAGATCATACAAATGGAACCAAAGAGCCCAGAGCAACTTCCAAACAAATGAAATGTGAACTTGAAGGGCAAAGTACATCAGTGTCAGATCACACCATCCATCACTGTTTGAACCAAAGTGGACTTGATGTGAGGACACCACTGCTGAGCGCAAATCATAAAAAAAAGTGAGATTGGAATTTGTCACAATGCAGATTGACAAACCACAAAGCTTCTGGGAGAATGTTCTTGATGAGACAAAACTGGAGCTCTTTGGCAAGACACATCAGCTCTATGTTCACAGACACAAAAATGATGCACATCAAGAAAAGAATACTGTCCCTACTGTGAAGCACGGAGGAGGTTTGGTTTTGTTCTGGGGCTGTTTTGCTGCATCTGGCACAGTGTCTTGAATCTGTGCAAAATACAACAAAATCTCTAAACTGTTAGGGTATTTTGGACCA